GTAACAATTTTTATCCCATTTCAAAAACCGTTTGAATATATCACCGTTACACCCCAATGATGGTTCAGTTCGAATTTCGTGAAAATCGGACAAAAGCTGCTGGACAAAATGGCCGCCCCTCGTACGCTAATAGTGTAAAAATATGGTATATCAAGGTTGTGGACTCTCTAGAGGTCACAATTTTCACCCGATTTTGACGAAACTGGAAATGCATGTTTAAAACCCAAAGATTTTGCCTCCTTTCGATATTCGTGCATCCTACTGTTCTGCTCCTAAACTGGGCTAATGAAGACGGGCATACGCCATACTGTGAGCTATGAGGGAAATTTTGCCCGGGCAGCGGCGCTACGGCCTACTCTTATATCGAATTCCAACTGCCAAGGGATCTTTTACGTGCACGCCAACATGTACACAGGGCCTCGGTTTTTCGTCCCATCCGAACGGCTAGACAGCTGTCCTTGTCAGGCCCTCCGTCCTGCATCACTGACAAGGGGAAACCACGCCGGAAAATCTGGATGAACTTTCTCGGCAAATGCAGGGATCGAACACCCGACCTCCAGGCTCGCGAGCCAGCGTCTTACCCACTTAGCCACGTGATCCCCTCTTCCTGAATCATGGCCCGGTGATTGTACGAAAAATCGCGTTTTTAGCTTGTGGTCCCTCAATAGGTCAAAATTATTATCTGATTTAAAAAAAAACCCCAAAAATAACAAAAACGTTCGAATCTGTCACCGTTACACCGTAATGTTGGTTGAGTTCGAATTTCGTGAAAATCGGAGGAAAACTGCCAGACAAAATGGCCGCCCTCTATACACAAGTGTATACATCTGGTATATCAAGGTTGTAGGACCCTCTAGAGGTCACAATGTTGATCCGATTTTAAGGAACTTGAAATGCATGTTTATAACCCAAAGATCTTGGTTCCTGTCGATATTCGCGCATATCTGATAGCACCTTCCTGAATTATGGCCCTTGATGTTACGAAGTAATTTAAGACTTTCATAATCACCGGAAGTAACCACTTTTTGACAAAAACTGTATTTTTAGCTTCTAAACAAATAATTGTTTGAAGTAAGCGATATTCATTATTGGTATAAAATTATGATATTTCATTCCTATGGACAAACAGTATATATCAATACGATCATATTGATATCACAAAATTGTTTCCAACATCTTTCCTTGCCGAGAAATAACCAATTGTGTCAGGATCACTTTTTACGATTTTTCGCATTTTAATTTCAGTTTATGGGTTCTGGATTAATTATTTATTGCCTGATTTGTGTAAAAGAAAAGCCCATATGCTCCGTGGTGCAAATTCTAAACTTTCTTCTACCGATAAATGTTTCTGTCGGCACCGGAAAGTGCTGTAATTTTGCCCAAAACTTCAATTTTGACTTTGCTAGCTTAGTAGTGCTCGCCCATTCATCGTATTTTAAATATAATAGATAAAGGCAGCAGCGTATGTATTTTTCAAAAATGTCCGTTCAAGTATTTAAAGATGCATGTAAGATTTGGATAAAGAGCTTTCCGTTCCTGCTATATTAGCAGGCCCGTAGCCAAGGGGGGGCTTCGCCCCCCCCCCCTGGAAATAATCTCCCCCCCCCTGACAAAAAGTTGTCGACCATATTTATAAATTACCTATGTATGATTTGAATATATTTCTTGAAAAACACTCAGAATAGTTCGTTCTTAAAACATATAATTATCGATTTCTATGCTTAGAAACTCGTTTACAGCTACTCAATTTTCAAAATTTTCCGGGGGGGAGACCCCCGTACCCCCGGCAAGAGAGAAAAGCCTTACCGCCGGGGCTGCACCCCCCCCCCCCCCCCCTGCGCCAGCAAGCTGGCTACGGGCCTGTATATTAGTTCAAAATTATATAATGCGAAATGGATATATTGAAAATTTCATTCAAATTAGTTTATTCTGAGCGCAGTGATCACTGTTTGAAGTGTTAACAAGATGTGGTATAGATTGGGTTTTTTTTATTGTAACTGACAGAGCTTGTCATGTGAATAAATGTTATATAACATTTGAAGACCTGCAATAGGCAGATTTAACTTACATAATGCATCTTTGAATAATTTTCCTGGTTTATTTGTAATGTAATAGTTACAAGATTTCATAAATTGAAGGTATGCGGGAGATGACTCTGAAATTCCATCCCGCGGTGAGCAATCTCACTGAATTATAAAGATTTCTGTGCGGGAACTCTGGAATGTATTCACAAGACACCGTCAGGTTCAAAATAAACGGTGAAGAACTCCGAAAAATGTCATTGAAAAAAAAGTTTTGAAATTTGGAAGGATTCTTTCTTAACCTAATGAGCAATCCCACAAAATTTTAAAACATTCTATTAAAATCTGTGTCCTGTACCTTTCTTTCATTTTTCAGGCCCTGGGTTCGATCTATCTCCTTATTTGAGAAAGTTCTTCTGGATTTTCCAAAATTGTAATTGGTGCACGGGTAGAGCGATAACCCGATGTTCCATGTGCACATAAAACAACCATTGGCAGCTGGATTTCGAAAAAGAGAAGGTGGATCGACGCTGCTCTGGCCAAAAATTCTAACCCCAGCACACGGTATGATGTCCATCTTGATTAGCCCAGTTTGAACGTAAATTCGGAGATACAAAAGGGTTCTTCCTTGTGACCAATCTTAGCGGATGTTCACAAACAATTACGATAAGACATGTAATGCGTTCACAAGTAAAAGTTGGACGTACTGACCAGAGGCGTAGCCGTGAAGTATATATGGGGGGGGGGGGGTCCGCAACCCTAACCCTAACCCTTTTTTAAAACCCCTAAAAAATATAAACAAACACCATGTGACCATGCTGTCTACACAACTCGTTTGCTGATTGGCCCAGACACCGCGTGCAAAGTATTATTGTTACGTGGCTGACGGAGCGGGCGATAAATATTTGGTTTAGGCGATAATGTTTTTGGGTACCTACATGCGATTCACTCTGATAAGTGGCAGAACAAAATTAACAAAATATTACTGACAGGCTAACTAGACACAATTTTATGGAACACAGTTACTATTCACTTCACACATGTTTCCAGGATGATTCTCTCTGTGTTTTATTTTAGCAATGTAAACCATATTGGGTGGGATATGTACAGGTTTTATACAGATAGAATCTAAACTAATCCTAATAATTGTTGTAAATAAATAGGAGTTTGGGCCTACTATGTAATTTTTTTTTTTTGGGGGGGGGGGATCCAAGTATATTCAGACCCCCCCCCCCCCCATGTGTGACGCCCATGGTACTGACAAACATTGGTGAAGAAAACAATATGTCCATGCCGAAGTATAAAAATTGGAGGTTCGCCTTAAAGCACAACAAGCCAGATGGTTTACATTATTTCAAAAGTCAAGATGTGTTATCAGGGCCGGCGGAAGCAATTCTTGATTTGGGGGGGGGGGCTACCATCCTAGGCCCCGGAAGCCCTTGGGGATCTAGATCGCCGGAGACGCTTTCTACGCGATTTCTGGCTAATGAAATTACTCGGCAATGAAGTGAAATTTTATTTCATTTTTAACTCCCTTACCATAAAAACAGAATCTATGGTGGTTTAATCCTGCGATGCTGAACTTTACAAATATATGCATGATGAAACTTACAATCTACGTTTAATACCGAAAGATCTCGGTTCCTTTCGATATTGGCGAATATATAGGACCGTCACTTCCTGGATTATGGCCCCTGATTTTACGAACCGTGGACACAGTAGCAGTAACAATTTTTATTTGATTGTAAAAAAAACCCCATTCAATTATAGCAGGTTAAATTTATTTATCCGAAATTGACGAGACTTGAAATATAGGTCTATATCTCCCAAAGATCTCGGTTTCTTTCGAAATTGGCATGTATTGGACCGTAACGTCATGGATTATAACCTCTGATTGTACGAAAAATGACATTTTTAGCTTATGGACACTCTAGAGGTCACAATTTTCATCCAATTTTGATGAAACTTGAAATGTATGTTTAGTTCCTTTCCATATTCGCGCATATCTGATTGTAACTTTCTGGATTATAGCCCCTGATTGTACAAAAAATCGAGTTTTTAGCTTGTGGTCCCTCTAGAGGTTACAATTTTTATCCCATTTAAAAGGCATTCGAATATGTCACCGGTACACCATAATTACGGTTGAGTTCACATTTTCTGAAAATGAAAGCGGCACTGGCGATGGTGCGTGTTCGCCTTTATAGCATTTTCGACTAAACAAATACGAAGGCCAATTGTATTTATACTAAAACCTAATGAGTTCCTAAGTAATAAAAAAACAAGAGCGTATTTTGTTCGGAAATGGACTCTTAGCCTAGCTCACTACCCGCCGTACGTGCTACAATACTACGGGCAGTCTACGGGGAATTTTTTTTAGTAAACCCGTGAGCTAGACTTACGCGTCACTTGCGTGTACAGATTCGAAGATCGCCGACTGGCCGTAGAGATATTTGGTCCGTGAGACTCTTGCCACCCTGACACTTGCACGATTTTTGTTACCGCAATGCCGCGTAATGCTTCGTGGCAAGTCGTGCCCTTCGATATTGTAGCTGTGTTTGCGCCCTGTTCGCAGATTTTCATGAGTTTTAATTTAAATGTTCTCATTATTAACAAAAGAAAAATTATGTGACGTTGACTGCCCGCACGACTTTGCTGCGGTGAGCGTATGTTTCGTTGCCTGGCAACGCATCTTTTAGAAAACACGTGAATGCATTCGAGCACATAACAATTTCTATACCGTACGGTATATTATTTATCAAAAGGTAGTTTTCGAAACAGATAACCTTACACAATCTCGATGGGACCTTAACATTATTTTAATAAAAACATATAAAAATAATAACCTAATATTAATTGCACATAAGTAATTTAGACTGGACCTCAAACAAGGTGACATGTCACGTGGCGTTGTGTGTGACAAGAGGCGGCCAAGTCTATAAATATACTTGAATTTGGTTATCATCCAATGATATTACACTTGCGGATAAAAATAGGTCACCGTTATCACGTGCTATTTACATTCACACGTCATAGCACGTTGCCATTAAAGAATGTCAATGTGAGTGAGGGAGAAGAAATGGCAGATGCCTGTAAATTATGAGAGATCTATACATGTATGTATATGTATGTATTTATTTTGGCATATGTCCGGATTCATTTTAAATTTATTATAAACATTATCTTTACTGTAGCTGCATCACTGGTCTGCTTTGTTGGAAATTATAAAGGAGCTAATCGCAACATTGTGCCAGGGTTCCCTGACGTGACCGAGTTTATTATCATTTAATAATTATTCTGGTGAGTTTCACATAACAAGCAGGGCGTCAATATCGCAGATTTCGATTTACTCCAAAACTAAGTAATAAATTCTTACAAATAGACTTATCTCGGGTTCCTTAAAATAGATTGCACAATAAAATATTCACATAACTTAAAAAGTTTTCTTTTCACATAGTGACACATTCGCCTGGTCCCTGGATGTAAACAATATTACCAATGAACACGTCATGATGATGCAACAAATTTGTTTCTGATCAGTAGGCCTATAGAATTCGTAGGGCTTTTGTTACGATGCACGTCTCTGAAAAGACCAGTGATTTTTCGATGTAGTCGACTGTGTGAAGATTAGTATGTATGTATAAAACATAGTAGTGTTTGTTATTTAATTGCAGTAAAACAATGGATTCTGCTGAAGAAAGTGACACAGAGTCACAACTTGAAAAGTTTTCCTTTGGATCAGGTGATAGTGGTTTTTGTACTGAAGAACCTGTTGTTTCTTTATCTCATGGTATGTAATTAATTACACTAACTAGTTTTTATTAAAGATATATTATGTAAGAGCTAAATCTTCCTATATATAGCAGGTCTTTAAATTTTGGCTTCAAATGTTATAAAGTATTAGAAATTATGATTTATTAACATGACAAGCCCATAATCAACTCTCAATATCATCGCCATGGCACAGATTCAAATGAATTAGACCGCCAGCGAGATTTAAAAATTTAACGATATAGTTGATAATCCAGTCTTAGTCTTGTTTGTCCAGTACCATTGCTACTAATGTACGCTACCGGTACATAAAATACTTTGAAGGAAATTTTCAACATATTCATTTTTCATTATCTATTTTTGAACTATTATTTATAGCAAGAACAGCCAGCTCTTTATCTAAATCTTACATAAAGCATTTTAATTTAAGTTGAAATTAAACATAATTTGGCTTTCATGTATATTTCTCTTACTACTGTGACCTTTCTGGAGTGAGATTCAGTACATAGACTTATAAATACATAAAATCAAATCAATGAACAATTTTATTGTGTGGGATTTTGTATGAGAAAAGTGTCACGGTCGTGTGTTTTATCCTTCATCATCAGATGGTGGGATGGGATGGGCATTCAAAGCGTGATATAATGATTGATATAGACATATGTGATAGATATCACAATTAATAATGCTATGCATCAATGAAATTGAATCACAATGTGATCCTATTACTTCATAATAAAAATTGATGTCAAACGGGTGTTGGATTTCTCTTTTTAAAAAGCTCAGTGTGTATGTATGCCTACACAATTTGGAGACGATGAAGGCATCATGCATTGTCAAGTGTCAAATTTCCTTAACAGGAACCTGGCAAATCCCCTCCTGCAAAAATTCCTGGATCCACCCCTGTAACGACTACTCGAATTTGAAATTTTGTTGTAACATCATGTTTGTATAGTGATTGTTATCCATAGAACTGTAAGTCATATTATGTTCAATCGCTAAATACTATTTAATGATTAAATTTTATTATTGATCAAAACCAAAGAGTTCTAGTCATTTTAACATTTCATATATTTTAACATTGTCATGATCTTACAAGCATGTTTTATATGTGTATTAACTACATGTACCAACTTTTAAGGTCATATTGATTTTATAATAGCATGTGGTGTTTTTTTTCTACTTAACAACTCAATTTCATTATTTTGCAGACCCTGAAAAAAAGAATAGAAGTGAAAATAAATCACCCAGCACATGTAATCAAACAACACCATTATCTCATCATGTAAGTTAATATTTTTTTCCTAATTATTACCTATATATATTGTATTAAGGGTTTTCATGAAACGGACAGGCATAATTTTAAAACATGGTTTATTACTCTTGAACATTTGTAATTGCAAATATTAAAAAATGCATCCTACTAAATCTGATATTCTGAAAGTTGGTAGTTTCTAAACGCTTTTATTTCAAATGACATGAAGTGAAATGTAATGGGGTTTAGTCATTCTGGTCTGCCAGTTCAAACGACATGGAGTAAAATGAAAATGGAGTTTAGTCTTTCTGTTCTGCCAGTTCAAACAAAGCATTTTAAAGCTATTTCAGGAATTTATTTCAGGAGTTGAAGATGTCATTAATTTTTTTTCATCAAAGTGAATTTGGCAATGATTGAATCATATAAAGTTGAACTTTGTAGGTTTTATTTAGTTGTAAAATCTTTGTGATCTTTTCTCTTTCAGATGACATCTGCATCTGAACCATCAACTCCAGTATTAACCACCATTATCTCTAGTCCAGAGTACATAGATTATGCAAACTCATTACGATCAATACCAAAAACTAAGTCTAACGATTTACCAAAATCTAGTGTGTCATCTTATATGAGTCTCAAAAGGAAAGTCAGTATTGACAGTGTGTCAAGTAGCAATCAGAATTCTAATGTAAAAATCACAAAACCAGACTCAAGTGACTCTCAAAATGTCAAACAAAAGCGCTTCAATCGAACAGCAAAAGCGTTGAGGGAATCAGGACTTCTTCCTATAGCTATTAAAACTGGTAATCTAATGAAAAAGAATATGATTTTACAAAAAGAAATTCAAAATCTCAAAAAAGAGACAGCATTGTTTTTACAGTCTGTTCAAGCAGAAGGAAGTGACAATACAGAAGAAAGAAAACACTCTGGTTAATGTGTCTCTTTATAAACTTGCCTGTGTTGGTTTTCTAGCAGACATTGTAATCTTTGGTTTTCTGAAATTGCTTTCATAATCATAATTACATTTGTTTGATATTTGGAAAATGATTAGGATCTTCAGCAAGGACAAGGAAGTCTAATTACTCTTTGAGTAATGAGCATAATAAATTGAAACAACTAAGTGTCTATTATTAAGTTCTATGCAATTTTGTTATTCAGAAAGCAATAACATTTTATACAAAGACAAAATAGGTATTGCACATATTTACAGTAATACAGATTTTAACTATTAACATTATTGAAAATAATTGCAAAAATAAAAACATCGCGAAAATTATGGCAAGTAATAACCTGATGAACTGTATGTAAATCTTAACATACAGACAAGGGAATCCAGGGATTAATGGTTCTGTATGACAAATGATATTTCTATAAAAAAAACCCTGCTAATTTGATTGAATATCATCAATTTATCTGATGAAATAATTATTGCATGTAAAATGCTGCACTAAGTGTCTCGCCTTGTTAGATTATATATCGAAATTCTACAGAAATATATCCTTGCATGACCCCTAATGTATCCTAAATGACATTTTATACAAATGAGATTTTAGCAAATAAAACTGTTTCCTTTGTTATTTACTATTATTGTTATATGTATATGAAAATATCTATCATAACAGGGATACTTTCCTTTGACCCACAATTATGTATGCTGAATTTAATTAAAATATCAACAAATCAATTTTTGGGCAATTTTTAATTCAACTTGAAATAATTTTACCAATATTACAAATGCCTAGTTTGGCGGTGTATAGTGACTATACTATAGTCTGATTATATCAAAATTTAATTACACATCAAAAAGTTAAGATGTAAATTATGTTCTTTTCTAAACTAAAAGTAGTAAGTCAATAAAGATGTAGTTTTTATCATGTTCTTTTCTGTATAACAAGTTCATCAAATCCTGTTTCTGTATCATCTTGCCTTATAAATATAGCTTCTTCACACTCTCCAATCATTACTTCTGCTGTAGTATAAACAATTAAATTGCCAATAACATGGCCTCCAATAACGTTTCCTTCAGTATCACTGAGTGATATATGTAAATGGCCACCTTCTCCACCTGACAGTGTTCCAACCAGGGATACTATCTCAAATGGTCCTTTTAAATCTTTTATCTGAAATTAAAGATATACATGTACTTGCCTACAAATTATGATTAATATAAGTTTTGGGCTTTTTTTATCAGTAATAAGTTTGATATTTTTCATGCAAGTTAATTTAAATCATTTATATCGACAGAATCACTTGTGCATTTACATCTACAGAACCAATGTGCAGTATATAATTGCATGGTTGATTGAGATTTTTACTAAAGAAATTTATTGACTTTATGTAGCAAACACTGTCAGTTTTGCATGACTCACTTCCTGTCCACTTGCCATTCTCAGTCGAGCCTGTGTAACACTTCCAACACAGGTTATAATAAATGCAGCTTTTAAGCCATGCTCTTTAATAAAGTCTAACAAACATTGTCTTATCTCTTGTCCGGGACGCAATCTTATTGGATAGCACTGCATTGTGGATTTGATTGCCTGTAATAAAGAGAAGAAGAAAAACACCCCATAATGAGTAGGCCCACCCCCACTCATTTCACTTTTTATCGAAAATTGCTATCATATATGAGATTATGCTGTGCACTGGATATAATAATCGTGCGAGCATCTATAGACTATCTTATTGTTTACTGTGTGTTGTGTTCAACTGCCATGGCCAACCACCAACCGACAATACTGTCATAAGATACCCCAATTTGGCAGAAAGTTAAAAATGCAGGCCTAAAGACCACAAAATTAATTACATAACTTCTGTTTTCAGGAGATTAAACATTACATTACACATACACTGTCTTTATTCAAAACAAAAAATAATTATTGACTTTACAGTCTATTGCATCAATAACTTCGGATTCAAATCTTCGTGTTTATAACAACCTACATTTGAGATACTGACCTTTTTTTTTTTGTTAAAAACTTTAGAAAATATTGCAACTATGCTTTTGAGAGAGAAATGGGGTTTAACGTCCACTCGACACAAACTAGGTCATTTCGGGACTAACATATGGTTTTAATTTTATTTACATAATTCGCTTGCGCGTAGGGGTCTTTAGCAGTGGGAGGAAACCAGAAAAACTATGCTATATATACATATATTTGATTATGTAGACTTTGCTTTCACTTTTTTCAATTTATAAAAGTTTTTCCTTGGTAGAATAAGTCTTTTCAAATTTTGTTCAATTGACATTGTATTTACCCAAGTTAAAAGCATTTCTTTAAAATTTTGCATTAATTACTAATTTCAATAGACTAATTATTTAACAGATTAAAATTGAAATTAAATACTTTTCATCTACATGAAAATATAGAATAATTCAAATTTAATTAAGGCTGATGTTCCTCGCCCTATTCTAAATATATAAATGACACTCAATTACTTGCATCAAGTCTCAAGCAATCGTATCCCACTGCTTAACCTGAGCAGAAAATGTTCATTACCAAATTACCAAACTTAGTCTTAAGTTATCGATATATAATGAAACTATACACCTAGTTTCGAATCACAGTCATTTATTGTGTTCCAAATTGTTCACATATGCTAAATATTATTGATCTCAGCCAGTGAGTCTACCTAGTTTCAAAAGTCTACCTCAGTTATTAGAAGCAGAGTTATTGTGTCCCAAAAAGTATGAGAAACTCATTTTAATAATTCTGTTTTCTTCAGATTGTGGGGAACAAAACATTAAGGATTTTTTGTACCAGTAATAGGCCTAACACTATATCACTAGTGACGTACTACAGAAAGGAAAAAAAAAAGTGTGAGTAAGCGACTTACAGAGATTCAATTTATAGCCTAATGATCTGAGTTGAAGGAGCTAAATCGCTATATTTGGATCCTAGAAATTGACACATTTGGATCAAATGGGTCACAACGCAACCGCATATATAATGATGTAATATGAATGTATAAACTGTGTCAATTTCTATGTCCAGAATTATATATTGCGATTTAGATCCTTTAGAAGCACAAAAGTGACATAGAAGAAGTGTTCAATAATCCTTTAATGAGCTATTACTATTAGAAGAAAAGAAAAATGGAAATAACAATTACCTTTGAAGCCATTTTAGTAATGTAACGGAAGTTGCCAAGTTCAAAAATAAGTGCATCGGGTATCTGTGATAATCTGAATAAGCTGACAATTAACCTAGAAATAGAAATGGTTCCACTACTTTAGTACTGAGCTTATCCCAAAGACAATTCATATACGAAGTCTACTCGGCCCAATAGAAGAAGACCACTTATCCCAAGATAGAAGACCACCCATCCCAAGAAATAAAGTGATAGTTGTATTTGTTTTAATATAATTGTTTTAATAAATTGAGTACATTTTGGTATTGTTGTTTTAATAAATTGATTATATATGTCAAATATGTGTTTGTTTTAATGTTATAATGCACAGATGTAATAAATTCTTTTATAAATTGTTGATGTAGGCCTAATATAGAGTAATTTAATAAATAATGATGAATAAAAACAATAAATTGAGTATGCCTATTTTATTTTAATTTGGTCCAAGTGGTCTTCTATTCGGGCCATGTTTTTTTAAAAAAAAAAACAAACAAAAAAAGACTATACTGACGGTTGTGGAATGAGTGGTCTTCTATTCTAAACTTAGTCGGAGTGATCTCATAAGTTATATCTCGACCCACGTATTAAAACAAACACAACTATTGTGGGGTTAGTGGTCTTCTATCTTGGGATGAGTGGGCTTTTATTGGGCGGAGTCGTCTTGGGATCGTTGTTATCCATTCATTAATAACTGAGCTCCACAACAGTGGGGTGGTCAACAAAGGGAAATAACGCAATAATAAGTGAATAACTCAATTTGAATAACTGAATAAGGACTTCCACTGGCAACATTTTCCCTGATTTCACAATTGTTCGTCTATGCAACATATTAAGATATTTTTGGCTATAGAGATTAATTTAAAAAAAAAAAAAAAAAAATGGATTAGTCAAAGAAATAACATCGTAGATAGCACCGTGCTAATTCTATGATAAAGTTAGTGGTGAGGAAATTACCGGTGTGAATCCAATAACTATTTATCTCCCTTCTCCCGCTCGTGCAACTGGATTTCGGGAGCATCTAGTTTTATAGTTTAATTTGAGCAATACTATTCCCTTTGAAGTCCGATGACAGCATAATCGGCTTAATCATGACATTGTCGATTACCGAATATGTGTAAATTATTATTAGTAGTAGTATAAGCAGGACATTCATAGTTTATTCGTTTAAAAGTAGTATTTTCAATAATTACCCATAGGTAAACTTCAAAACTCATCAAACATCAACAATGTCCGACGAAATGAGCGCGGGTCAAAGTAATTTAGATTCTTCTCAAGATACAGAAAGTATTTCTATGGTGGAAATACTTGAAGAGGAGAATAGGCTCAAAGCAGACGCTGCTGCTGTCTTAGGAGCCAGCGATGACAAGAATTGTACTTACAGTAAGGTAAAAAGAAATCTATTAATTAGGCCTAGGCCTAAATTTGCATCCATTGCAAACTATGACTATGCAATCAATATCATTCAATTTCAATTTTCATCGTCATCAATTTCAAATACATAGGCAATAATTTATGTTCATTGTGTGGCAATAGGCTAGAAAATAATTAGAGAAGTGTATGCCATGGTAGACTAATGTTGTTCTTAGTGTTTTTAACGTCCGCTTCCACCGCGCGCAGGGGTCTTTCCTGTGGGAGTACCCGGAGTAAACCCACGAGGTTGAGAAGGCGCCCCTATCTCCAAAGCCAAATATGCTCACACCAGGGATCGAAACTGACGAAACCACAGACGCAAGCCAGAGCAGAGGTGACCGGCCAGCTAGATGTCGAAGTGTGACACTATCTAGGCCATCCCAACCCCCCATAAAAGTTTATGGAGATGTCGGGTTCCGAACCCGGGGCCTTTCACTAATTTATTATATGTATACACAGTTTTAGGTCATGAGATGAAGAAGACTATTGATTTTCAACGATTTCTGATAACTTTGAAAAATCTGGTGGACGCTCTTGAGGCTAAAGTTCGTTCGTTCGTTCGTTTCTGGAGTTTTACGTCCACTTCCACCTAAGGTGATATCCGATTGAATTTATACACAGTGTTTTAGGTCATAAAGTTAATATCCGATTAAATTTATACACAGTGTTTAAGGTCATAAGACGAAGAAGTCTATTGATTTTCACCGATTTTCGATAATTACTGCCAGAGTTATGGCACTCTAGAGGCTAAAGTTGTGGACACTCTAGAGACTAAAGTTAATATCCGATTGACTTTAAATTTATACACAGTATTTGGAAGTCATCAGGTCATGATTTTAAATTGATAGTATTTATACACATCGTTTGATTGACTTTAGATTGATACACAGAGTTTAATGTCTTGAGACGAACAAGTATATTGATTTTTAATGATTTTTGATAACTTGAACAGCTAAATCTATGATATTAAATGTTTTTTATACTAAAACGTTAGCATGGGCAAAACAAATTCTAATGATTTTCTGATAATTACTTAATGAGTTGTTGTTCTTAATCAGATTTTATTTTAGTGTATTAAAGTAAAACCGACAAAAGTAAAAATATGCGAAAACTGTTGTTCACTGCCCAGACAATTTAGCTGCTGTGAGCAACCTATTTTTATACGCCCACATTTTCATGTGGACGTATTATGCCGTCGCCCCTCTCCGTCCGTCCACAATTGTTTGTGGACTCTCTACAGGTCGCAATTCTTATCCGATTTCGACAAAACTTGAAATAAAGGTTTATCCCCAAAAGATCGCGGCTGCTTTCGATATTGGCATGTATCGGATTGAAACTTCATGGATTATGGCCCCTGTTTGTACGAAAAATCACGTTTTTGGCTTGTGGACCCTATAGAGGTCACAATTTTTATCCGATTTTGTTGAAACTTGAAATGTAAGTTTATAACCCAAAGATCTCAGTTCCTGTCGATATTTGCGCATATCGGACCGTAACTTCCTGAATTATGGCCCCTGATTGTACGAAAAATCACGTTTTTAGCTTGTGGACCCTATAGAAGTCATAATTTTTATCCGATTTAAAAAAACGTTCTATTATATCACCGTTACACCCTAAGGATGACTGAGTTCGAATTTCGTGAAAATCGGCCCAAAATTGACAGACAAAATGGCCGCCGTTCGTTCCCAAATAGCGTAAGAATATGGTATATCAAGGTTGTGGACCCTATAGGGGTCACAATTTTTATCCGATTTTGTTGAAATTTGAAATGTAAGTTTATAACCCAAAGATCTCGGTTCCTTTCGATATTCGTGCATATCGGACCGTAACTTCCTGAATTATGGCCCCTGATTGTACGAAAAATCACTTTTTTAGCTTGTGGACCCTATAAAAGTCATAATTTTTATCCGATTTAAAAAAACGTATTATTATATCACCGTTACACCCTAGGGACGACTCAATTCGAATTTCGTGAAAATCTGCCCAAAATTGACAGACAAAATGGCCGCCGTTCGTTCTCAAATAGCGTAAGAAAATGGTATATCAAGGTTGTGAACCCTATAGAGGTCACAATTTTTATCCGATTTTGTTGAAACTTGAAGTGTAAGTCTATAACCCAAAGATCTCGGTTCCTTTCGATATTCGCGCATATCGGACCGTAATTTCCTGAATTATGGCCCCTGATTGTACGAAAAATCGCGTTTTTAGCTTGTGGACCCTATAGAGGGCATAATTTTTATCCGATTTAAAAAAACGTATTATTATATTACCGTTACACCCTAAGGACGACTGAGTTTGAATTTCATGAAAATCGGCCCAAAATTGACAGACAAAATGGCCGCCGTTCATTCTCAAATAGCGTAAAAATATGGTATATCAAGGTTGTGGACCCTATATAGGTCACAATTTTTATCCGATTTTGTTGAAACTTGAAATATAAGTTTATAACCCAAAGATCTCGGTTCCTTTCAATATTTGCCCATATCGGACCGTAACTTCCTGAATTATGGCCCCTGATTGTACGAAAAATCATGTTTTTAGCTTGTGGACCCATTAGAGGTCATAATTTTTATCCGATTTAAAAAAACGTATTATTATATTACCGTTCCACCCTAAGAACAGTTGAGATTGAATTTTGTGAAAATCGCCCCAAAATTGACAGACAAAATGGCCGCCGTTCGTTCTCAAATCGCGTAAAAATATGGTATATCAAGGTTGTGGACCCTATAGAGGTGACAATTTTTATCCAATTTTGTTGAAACTTGAAATGTAAGTTTATAACACAAAGATCTCAGTTCCTTTAGATATATGCGCATATCGAATTGTAATTTCCTGAATTATGGCCCTTGATTGTAGGAAAAATCACTTTCTTGTTAGCTTGTTCTCTATCCATCTCTCGAAAATGTGGGCGTATCCTGCCTGGCAGCCGCTGGTTAAAATGGTTGCCAAACTAGAATTGGAACACGCCCCTGATTAAAAGTCACCTCGAAAATGTAGAAAAACTGTTTGGTAACTATTTGTAACATACTTACATGTATTTCTAGTGGTTTACCCAAGAACTTGCCGTAACAGACCGTTTCATTGGCTAATCCCTCACTTAACCAGAACGCCGGTAATATAACAACTCTTCCAGATCCTAGTGTTGTAGAGACAAAACAAAATTTGAACTATAAAAAACCCGAAACAATTGGCAAACTGTGATGATGCTTTTGAGAATTTTGCATTTGAAGCTATTTTTTTCTTGCGCAAGGCCTTGAAGAGTTCATTAATTGTAGCGAAGGACAAAACAAGACACTGCTACAATATTGCAGCTAATGGTGCATGGCCATATTATGTTCTAATGACTTTAGCCTGATATAAAACGTTCCAAGCAATAATAGACCGCATGTTGCGGAGAATGGGTATTATTTTCTCGCTCAAACATGAACAAGAGTTTGACAGTGTGCGGTAGGGATGCCGTATGCGAAGCCCTGAATAGTTTGACTCATATTATGCCATTCAGCCATACAGTAAAATTTTATTTTTGAAAAAACTCAAACAAAAACAGAACAATAGTTGCATGACAAGAAAATTCTAGTGACAGAGCAATTTACCCAGTGCTACGAAATACCACAACATACATGTACTACATGTACCTCTTACATAATTACTCCAAACATATCATTTATCAGAGATTGAATTCCTTGAATTATAAAAAATTGTATAATATTTATCTTAACTCGATCAAGTCCCCCAAAACATCTTCACAATATTTCCAAATACCTTCCAATTTTAACCCAATACTACCAAATAGTAAATACAACCATCCGCAACCTAATATTGGTACATGTAGATGTAAGCTTACAATTTACCGTAAAAGCTTTGAAAGTTTCAAAAGCTTATATACCGGTACAGTACTTTCTTGTTTTTCAGGGTTATGTGCCAAGACAGGCTCTGTATGCCTGTTCTACATGTTCACGGTCTGAAAATGTATTAGCAGGCATTTGTTTAGCTTGTAGTTATGAATGTCATGAAGGTCATGATCTCTATGAGTTATACACAAAAAGGTTAGATTTTTATGTTTCCCAAATTTTTGATTTTATTTGCTACTATTACTTAGGTCAAAGTATCTGTTTATTAATATTTTGCGAAATATCATATTTCCAAACTTTACGTGTGGTGACTATTGGCTAGGGCCACCTAGGGATATCATTCATGACCATATCTACATTTTGTATCTTTTTGTTTTTATTGTATTTCAAATAATGCTTTATATTTGCGGGAAAGGGGTGGAGAACAAATAGGTTAAATTTAATGCCATGAAGTGTGAGTTTGATCCAATCTGATTAAATACTAATCTATATTTTGTTTCGTATCTTATACGCCCACATGGAAATGTGGTCATATATTGCCATCACCCCCGTCCATCCACAATTTCTTGTGAACACTGTACAGACTACTTTATCATCTGATTGTTTTGAAATTAATATATGTTGTTTACATATCGATCACTGAGATGAAGAAGCCTATTTAATTTCACTAATTTCCGTCAATTTTTTGTGGGGTAATGGCCCATGTTTCACTTTGTTGCAACTAGTGAATGCTCTAACGACAAAAGTTATCCGATCTGTATGAAATTTATACAGATCATTTAAATTAGTGACATGAAGACTCCTATTGAATTTCAGCAATTTCCAATAATTACGTTTAGAGTTATCACCCTTGTTTAATTTTGTTGACCTTGTGTACATTCAATGATGAAGGTTGTCATCTGATCTGTACGAAATTTATATGCATCTTTTAAATTAGTGAAACGAAAAATCCTATTGAATTTCAGCCATTTCAAATAATTACTTGTAGAGTTATGGCCCTTGTTTCACTGTGTGAATGCGCGAATGATGACAGTTATCCGATCTGTATGAAATTTATATGCAATTAGTAAAACAAAAAAGCATATCGAATTTCAACAATTTCTGTAAATTACTTCAAGAGTTAAAGGCCCTTGTTTCAGTTTGTAGAACCTTGTGAACCCTCAAACAACGAAAATTATAATCTGATCTGTATGAAATTATCTTATATTATAACTTATAAATAATTGCCCCAATTATTTACAAAAGAATAAATATGTGAAGATCTGACCAGTTGTGTAATTGGAGGTTGCGTCATGGGTCATACGAGTGGCTTTTGACCCTATGATGTCAGACATTATTTGATTAACCAGTCAGTGTTGATGTTTCTAGTTGGATAGGCCTACCCACAGTTCCGTGCATTGCATGCCAAGAACTCAATGCAACAGACCGTTTCATTGGCTTATCCCTCACATCAACCAGAACATGGGTTATATAACAACTCTTCCAGATCCTGATGTAGTAAAGAAAAGTAAAACAAAATTTTGAACTATAAAAACCAAACGAAATAGGATCTGTGTTTTAATCAGATTTGAGTTAGTTGATCCCATGATAAAAGAAATATTCTGAAATGACTTTTCCTGAATCTTCTCCCACTTTCAGAAACTACAAGTTATGAAATAAAGATTTACCAGTACAAGTTTTTAATTTTAATATTCTCTAGAGACTAATAGCTTTGTTTTGTTAATTTTTAGATCATTTAGATGTGACTGTGGTAATGAAAAGTTTCCAAATTTAATTTGTAAATTTGAAAAGGTAAGCATGGTCTTCATGATTTGAATTACTCTTAAGAGCTAAAATAAAACATGGGGGGTTGGATGGCTGAATGGTTAATGTGTGCGCGCTGTATCATAAAGTCTGTCATTGAGTCAACTGGCATGATCGGTTTCGATTCCCTGGTTGTATATGACAAGGAGTAGGTTCGTCTGTCCAACCACGTGGGTTTTCTCCGGGTCCTCCGGTTTCCTCCCACTGCTAAAGACCCCTACGTGCAAGCGAATTATTGAAATAAAATTGAATCATATGTTAGACTGGAAATGGCCTAGTTTGTGTGAGTGGATGTTAAAGATGGGTTCCCGTGTACAAACTGGGTGATTTAATGGTATATATGGACTAAAAACATATTCAAACTAATTAAAATGTCATAACTTTGCTTCAAATCCTTCTCAAACATTGTAATTGCGAAGGAATGTCCTGCTATAAAAATTCGATCAAACCAGGTCATGTTTACGTCACATGACTTACCTCTCTTTGAAGTCAGAGGAGAATTCATTGCATACATAAGACGATATTGTCTTTTATCGCTTACTATTTATTACAAATATCGAATCCTAATTAAGTTCTCGGATTATCCACTACCCGCGTCTTTTTCCGTCATTTTTATCTCAGAAAGTGTTGTACGTCTAACTCTTCATAAAGTTTATCAACTTGTACATCAAGCGCTCAATGTTCACGTGTTACCTTTGACATCACGCATGCAGAAATTCCTAATCGTCGGGCTGTTGATTAGGGGAACCCTTACATTTTTGTCCTGTATACGCTCTATGAGTGTTTTTCGGGGAATCCAGTATTTTTCTAGTAAGATTGGATAGATATCTCTACTTTCCATATATACCAAAATTACCATACTTTTATTGGAAATAACCACCCGATAAATACTTTTCTGGTAACCCATCTTTAAACCCCATTTCTCTCTCTCTCTCTAGTCTAAGTTTGCTGTTATGGAATTCTAGTTAGTTGAATCTCTATTGTCTGGTTTGTGTATAAAAAAATAATATCTGTAGATTAAAATGGTAAATTATGTTGATTGTAGGAAAAAGACGCAACTAATAGTAGAAATAGATATAGTCAGAATTTTAAAGGATTATACTGTTCCTGCCACCGTCCTTATCCTGATCCAGATGATGAGGTAATCTGTTGTTTTATATTTCATAGACATATGGTTGCTTGTTGTTGTGTTCTTAAATAAGGCATTTAATTTAATGGTTATATTGTAATCTGCCCATCTGTAATCATTGGTAGGATTATTTAACCAACTGAATTACACAACAAATAACGTTACAAGCAACAAGGGGAGGTAATCAGACTTTACCTGATATCGTTGGGGGGAATAGTCCTGTTAACCTAGAAAATATTTTAAACATACATTATGCAAGAGCTAAATTTGCCTATTTACAGGTATTTCTTTAGGCCTGAAATGTTATATAAACTATTGATTAGATTGGGTATGTATTAACATGAAAAGACCATAGTCAACTCTTGATGCCATCTTATGTGTCCGATTTTCTTTGGATTTGAATCTGATCTGCCGTTCAGTGTCTGTTGATGATTAAATGCAAAAATGGATAATCGAGACTTTGTTTATTATTCTGACAGCGGCAACAATGACAATCGAGCTACAGTGATTTTTAGAGTCAAGCAAGTTGACTGAAATTTTCAGCATATTCCTTTTACATCATCTCTAGTTTTTAACTATTATAGTGAGAACTGCCAGCTCTTTATCTAATCTTCCATAATGTATCTTTAAGTTTTAAGTTTGACTAAATCCCATTAAATTTACACTTGTGTTGAATTGCTAAGTATTACACATTTCTGTTGTGCACAACAGCCACATAAATGTGGTCAAGTTGACTTTACAAAGACAATATTTTACATTTACATACTAAAACGTGACAACAAATTGATAAAATATATAAATAAAGAATTATTATTTATTTAGATATTTAATGTAATTAGAAATGAGAATAGCTCTGGTTAATCTACATGTATATGAAAGGATCACGTGGTAAAAGCCTTTATAAATAAATATGTCTTTAGTTTTAAAAGCAGCAATAGCAGTGACATTACAAATTTGAATTGGTAATTTATTCCATAACAATATCTTAATGTTCCAGATTATAATAAATAACTTAAAGATAAATTTTAAGAACATACATGTACATAATCATAAATACATGTACCTTTATTAAAAACTATTCACTAAGCAGCACGGCGATTGAAAATTCGGCTAAATATATCAAGCATGATTCAATCGGGCGAATAGAAATTTGACTGAATGATTCGACTAGTGTGTCCACCACTTTATGGTCTACCTGGGGATAGACATTTTAAGTTTACATTGGTTTCTAGTATTAATTTCATCACACCATCTATACTTTGTAGCTCTCAATCTGATTAAAATACAGATCTACTTTTGTTTCCTTTTTTTATACTTTCGATGGCCTACACTACATGTAGCGATAGGTCTCGTCAGAGGTCATACGAGCGACTTTTGACCCTATGACGTCAGATATTTGATTAACCAATCGGCATTGATGTTTCTAATAGATTTCCCACAGTTCCATTCAAAACACACCTAAAGCTCCACGTAACAGACCGTTTCATTGGCTAATCTCTAAGTTAGGGCCTAACACCATCTAGAACACGTCAATGATAACAACTCTTCCAGATCCTAGTGTAGTAAAGACAAGTAAAACAAAATTTTGAACTATAAAAAACGAAATGAAATAGGATCTGTGTTTTAATCAGACAAAATAAAACACTTAGAGTTAGACAAAATATTGATAATTTATTGTTTTACAAAATCTATTTTATACAAGCCAACCCATTCTTCATGTTCATAGTCTCTTTATACCGAGATGTACTTAATTACATAATAACAACAATTGTTACATTATATTACATACTTCTGACTGTTTAATGTAAGAAATATCACCACTGAGCAGTTCTTTCCTAGAATAAAACTGTGTAATTGAATATTATATGATACTTGAAGGTTGAAGATGATATGATTCAGTGTATATTATGTGAAGATTGGTATCATGGACGAGTAAGTTTATTCACTTTTATGTTCAGATCATGATATTGTAATTAACTTGCATTTAAAGATGAGTAATCTAATAGGTAATATTGTGAGGTAAGGCCCATAATAACCAGGTTAGGCCATATTAAAATTATTCTGATTCTCAGATGCTGTCATGTTACTTAAAAGTTAAATCAAAAGGTCAGCATGACCACTTTTTATTTAAAAATATAATAACATTATGATTAAATCTCGCATGTTCTTAATTCCTTTAGTAAAGGAAATTTCCTGGTTGAAACTGGTAGTGTACCATAGACTCAATTTCAAGTTCTCTCTATCCTGTGGGGGCTAAGTGGGTAAGATGCTGGCTCGCTAGCCTGGAGGTCAGTTGTTCGATCCCTGCATTGGCCGAGAATTTCATCCAGATTTTCTGGCGTGGTTCCCCCTTGTCAGTGATACAGGACGGAGGGCCTGACAAGGATTGCTGTCTGGTCGTTCGGATGGGACGAAAAACAGAGGTCCTGTGTACACATTGGCATGTACGTAAAATTTCTCTCAGCACACTGTATGGAGGATGCTCGTCTTCATTAGCCCAGTTCGGAGCAGGACAGTAGGACGTTAAACCCCATTTCATTTTATTTCTACATCCCGATAAATGTTATTGACAATCATAAGTAACACAGGGAAATTATAAACTAATGCACATTTATTGGAAAATGAGAAACACACATTTGCCTGCTTAATTTTAAAAGGTACTTTAAGTGCGTTCTCTGAGACCTAAACATATGCAAAAGTAACAATTAAATTTTTGGTATGTAACACTAAAATTAGTAGTAATAATAATGTAAGTAAATTACTGTAAACATCATGTATAAACAGTCGAGATTTTATGTAGATCCTTGAAATTTGATGTTGGTGGTTTAAGTAATTTAGCCCAGTGGTTCTTTGATAAAACAAAATATCTTCCTCATCAAATTTTTTGAAGGATTGGCTGAGAGAACTAAACTACTGTTTTGTATGATCTTATAATATACTTTATAAAACCATGTTCTGCTTGTTTTCATATGGAAGAGGACCATAAGGTATGTTTCATAGACAAAGAATAAGCATACCCTGTCTCCTGTAACATTTATAAGACTAAGACTCAGTAAGAGCAATGGCATATGTTTCATATTCATAGTTTATCTGGCTAATTATGAATGTTTTTTTTTTTTAGCATTTGGGTTTAGAAGGTTCTTTACCATCAGATTTTGAAGAGATGATTTGTCCTGAATGTGTCAATAATCATGATTTCTTGTCAGCCTACGCAGTCAATACTGCAGGTAAAAATTAGTGGTGGTATGATACATTGTTGAATCTATGTATCACGATTCACCTTCTCATGATTCTCCTATTGAATCGTGAGTCTTGAGTTAATTTTTTACGATTCTTTTTTTTTTTATGATTGTATTTTTTGTCGCTTCAGTAACTAACCTGTCAATCTTAATTAAACACACTTACTTAAATTGTGATATAAAACAGTTTTATTTCTTTGACTCCTGCACAACTGAAAATTCTCGCCATAAAATATTAATAATTAATTTATCCTGTTGTTGTCTTGGTAACTATTGACCTGGTTATGAATCACGATACGAATCGTAGCGTAGTACATGAAATTGTGATGGCAGTAAAAATAAAAAGTCACTTAATTCGGCCATCCAATCTAGCTAACCTGGAGGTCCCGACTTCAGCCCCTGCATTGGCTGAGAAAGTTTATCAGGGTTTACCGGTGTGGTCATTGGTGCAGGACCGAGAGACTTGCAAGAGACAATGTGTAGTTGTTCGGATGTAATAGAAAACCGAGGTCCCTGGTACACATTGCCATTGGCGTGCACATAAAAGAACCCTTGGCAATTGGAATTTGATATAAGAGTAGGCCATAGTGCCACCGTCCGGGCAAAACTTCCCCCATAGCACACTGTATGGCGTATGTCCGTCTTCATTAGCCCAGTCGGAGGGTTGGATGGCCGAATGGTTAGCACGTGCGTGCTGTATCATAAGACCTGTCATTGAGTCAACTGGCGTGGTTTCGAATCCCCGGTTGTACGTGACAAGGAGTAGGGTCGCCTGTCCAGCCTCGTGGGTTTTCTCCGGGTCCTCCGGTTTCCTCCCACTGCTAAAGACCCCTATGCGCAAGCGAATTATTGAAATAAAATTAAACCATATGTTAGTCCCGAAATGACCTAGTTTGTGTCGAGTGGACGTTAAACCCCATTTCTCTCTCTCTCTCTCATTAGCCCAGTCGAAGTAGGATGTTAAACCCTATTTTCATTTCTAAAGATTATGTCGAAACGTGGGTGGTGCTTGTGTATAATAAACCAGTGATTATTGTCCCATATAACTGTGACAGTTTTGTTAAATTATGTCATGTTGTTTACAAAACTATCAAATTTTAAATTTAAACGAAGAGCTAGAATCTAAAATATAAAGTTAGTTTTCTGACAGTTTTGTAACTAAGGACAAAAAGTTAGTTATATTTTAATGGTTATTTTGTAATTTTATATATTTTAGTGACAGTAGTTGAAAAAGAAAATGGTAAAACACAAGTAGATGTTGTCAACACTGATGAAGGATCATCTACAGGAAGAAAACGTAATTTATCTGGAGAATGTACTTCCCCACAAAAGGTTATGTACTATCCAAAATGGTGCTTATTCAGATTTATTGTTGCTGGGCTGAATAGGGGCAGGGCAGGGACATTTTTGGGTGGCAAATCTGTCAAATGCATTTCAGCCATATTTGGATGGTTGTCTGGATTCGTTCAAATAAAGCAACTTGGCTTTCAAAAAGTCAGGGGAAAATTAAACACATTGACTTCTTCACCTAAAACTTAGAACATATGGTCAGCTAAATTTAAAACATAACATATGGTCAGAGTTCTGGTTATTTTGATTTGTTCAAATGAACTTGCTTTAGTCTCTGGGAGCAAAGCAGGGGTAGCTTGAAGGAGCATATTTTGACATTTTAAATTTAAACTTTTTTCAGACTACAAATGATAGTACCTGTCTACTTAAAGAATTACAGAAACGTGAAATACCGAGCACTGATTCAGCTGTTTTTATGTCAGAAGGCTGGAGATCAAAACTGTGTAAATGTACAAGTTGTAAGGTAGGTTTTGAAGAATAAAATTAACACTAATTCAGTACTGTATGAGCTTTAATAATATAAAATAAAAATTCTACAAGCGTATGAATACTTTTGGGGGTGGTTTAACTCATGCCATCTCTCTGTATTAAGCCCATCTTCATTAGCCCAGTCGGAGCAGAACAGTAGGACGTTAAACCCTATTTCATTTCATTTCTCTGTGTTAAGCACAGTTGCTCGGGGAGGGGGGGGGGTCTTGTTTGTCAATCTGGAAATATTAGTATTGATGGAATTGCAAGTGACTGTTACTCCATTAATTGAATCCTTTCACAGTTCTGCCAGAATTCTGCCAGTCCTGTCCTGAAAAAAACATGGTGTGAGCAAAATCGTGATGTAAGCAATTGGTTGAGACAGTAATACTCTGTTGGTGGGTGCATGCCTTGAAGCAATAAATTTGTGTGTTTACTAGATCGAGACCTTTGGGGGACTGAAAGAATTAAATTCAGGAATGTTCAATAAAGTATCCATGTTTTCTTGTATTGTTGTATTGGTTGTTCATTAATTTAACTTGTTGCTGCTCTCTGTGTTTGTCTCTGTAACTAAATAGTCCCTGCTAGGCCTAATCAATTGTATTATCTCAAAGTCCAAGTGACGTTTGTTTTTTTTTTTAAAATTATTATCAGGATCTTCCACTTCCCTGTCAATGAAACCTTGCTTGTAAACATGTCGCAATGATTAAACATAGATCCCATTTCACAAAGCACATGTAAGACTTGCATACATGGAAATACAGCTCTATATTGAACATGCCTACTTGAGTACACTTGATGAAATGGGAGCTGTCAGGACATTTCATAATAATACTGTTGATAAACTGATTATAACACCAAAGATTGTTTGTGATTAACTATATATATATTTATCTGTATATTTTGTTGTTTATAGAAAATGTATGAAGAAAAGGGAATAAGCTTTATATTAGATAATGATGATACAGTACATGCATATGAAGATAAAGGGCTTGCTGCACACAGTAATTCAGATCCAAATGCACTACCTACAGCTCTTTCACAGATGGATAGAGTTCAACAAGTCGAACTGATTCATGGTCAGTTCTTATTTTAAAACTGCTGATTGTCATTTGAGGGGTTTTGAATCCCTTGCAACCTACAATATTTTGAAAGTTGAATCTAGTATAAAAGGAATTATCAATTCAAAATGGTTTAATTCTGTATTTACAAAATATAATGAATTACTATTTTACAACAATTGGCATGCTCTGGAAAAAATATAAACAAGCTATCTTAATTTAATGTTAAATCATCAATATGAGTACATTGAAGTGTACTTTAAATGGTTTTATTAGATATTGTAAGTTAATGGTAAAAAAATGCAGGATCAGTATTAGCGACTTTAGATATTTTATATTTCGATCTGCCGTATTTCCAGAATTTGAACCAAATATATCAAATTAGATTGATAAAATCATGGTAAAAATTTCTTTTTTTTTTATAGAAGTTTTTGCTTTCCTCTTTTCAGGATTCAATGATATGAAGAATGGTTTAAGAGAATATCTTAGAGGCTTTGCTGAAAATGGAAAGGTGTGTATTTGGGTAATAAAGTGAGGGGTTGATCAAACTTGTTTTGGAATGTACATGTATGATCGATGGGTATTTGAAATAAGTTCCACTGGATGATGCAAGTGAGTTTTAACATGCAAATCAAATGCCATATGGATAGAAATAGTCTACTTTCTTTGAAATTTTCGCCAAGATGTAGACACCAGCAAAGATTATTTAATTCATGTAAGAATTTGTCTTAAATTGTGTGACTTGATAAGCATGACTGGTATCTTATTGAATGACTTATGGACATATTCTATCAATAATTAAAAAAAAAAAACCACTACGCAAAAGAAATTGTATTGTATGTTACTGTTTGTAATGAAAAATTATTGATTTAACAATACAGTATATTGGTTACCTGTGCCCTATCAAATTGATTATAAAATTTTACTTCTAACTTTTAAATGTATAAACAACATAGCACCAAAATATCTATCCAATCTCCTTCAATTTTATAAACCTATAAGACATTCAAGTTCAGACAATTTCATACTAATGGATCATCTTTGAACTTGATATAAGTATTCCTTATAGCCTAAGGACAGCAATTATTGATTTTGGTGCATGTCCCGACTCCTAGGGGGTCATCTTGGAACTTGGCATATTTATTCCTTTTATCGTAAGAATAGTAACTATTTATTTTAGTACATGTCCCAACCACCAGGGGCTGTGTCACTCCCACGTTTTGTTAAATTCAGTCTTTAAATTTGGCAACGCCTAGCCTTCTTTATTCTAAAAAGTACCATATGAATCAAAGCAGGAATGTGGACGTATATTGCAGTTATACTTATAGCCATGCTCTCGTTTATTGTTAAGTCCATCTAAGCACTTAATGTGTGAAAGATGGGCTATAAAAAGTACCATAATAATAATAATATATATTATTTCATTAATTTATCACCTTTATTTTGGTAGGTCGTAAAAGAAGAAGATATTCGAGAGTTTTTCAGTCAGATGCAATCTAGAAAACGTCAACGAACTGATGCAGGTTTTCAGTACAACTGTAAATAGATTTTAATATACCGGTGCAAGATGAAATGTTGCTTGTAAATGTAAAATAACTTTATAAGTTTATTTTATGCATCACATTCATTTTAATAGAAGGGAACAAAGATATGTACAATAAACTGTGATATTATTCTTGAAGCTGATTTAAATTTAATGGAGAGGACATTGTTTTAAGTAGCATCATTTTCATCTATCTCATACTTGTATATTTGTATAAATTGTTTGTCTGTAAGGTTACAAATCCAAACAATAAAATTGCATTTAAATCATTAAGTTTTGTTTGTCATGGTGAATACTGACTTTTCATTGGCTGAACACTAAAACTTTAGCACAGATTTTAGCCCTCAGATGAAGAAGACACATTCTTAAAATACTTTAAAAAGATTTTTTGAATAAACACAAAGTTATTGTATTAACTCACATAACTCGAAGAATAGATGGATTGCAGCTTGAATGAATTTTGATAAATATCTTCCAGTGAATTTAAGTTGCAATTGATTTTAAGGTGTGATTCCCACATCATTCGACAGAAATTTTATAAGTGCAAGAACTGATTTACATGTCTACAATTGCCATTAAATCTTGTAATATACCAAGAAATATGTTTTAATGTACAATTTATGCCTGGTTTTGTTCATGATTTTGATGCAGGCGTTGCAAAGGGAAAATCGCTATTATGGATAACTGAAAGTTTTGATAGTCATGCCCAAGAGTGGCAGGAGGAGTTAGGGACTGCATTTCAGATCAGATTTTTCTTGAATGTGGCCTGTGACAAGCAAACAGGATTGTCGACACAAGTCTGGGAAGGTGTTATGGACAAGGGTAGTGGCAACCCTTAGATCAACCAGGAGTCTTGGTGTGCTGTCTCTTCCCCCCCCCCCCCTGCTGTATTTACTTGAAGATAGGGCCTAGGTTAATCCTCTTATGAGGCCCGTGCCAATCCCCCACCCTCACGATTAGAGGAAGATGAATGTGTTTTAAACATAACTGAGCAAATCCAAGGATGAAGGATGATTAAGACTACTGTGGTGTAAGAGATGCTTCTAATAGTGTCAAAAGATACATACAACTTGGCTGCAGGCCCCCTAGATCTTGAGGCTCAAGACTAGGTAAATCAGGCTTTGAATTCCCAGATCTTTTAAAATTACATGTATCAATTTGAGTACGTTCATTTTAGCGTGGATTAAGCCATGCAAAATAAAATATTTCCTGAATAATGCATATTGATGACGACTAGCGGCTTAAAAAAGAATAATATTTTAAACAGGTCCTCTATTTATTATTTCTTTTATATAAAAAGGACACGCCAAGTAAATGAATAAAATAAAGCAGAGTAAAATAATGCTGCATACTTTGGGGGTATTTAAAAGACAGATACCTAGAATTGCAAGGGTGTAAAAAAGAGGAGAGAAATGGGGTTTAACATTCACTTGACCCAGAGAAAATCCACCAGTCTAATAGTAAGTGCAGGAGGACCGCACTACACTAAAACAAAAATCTACAAGATAAACCTGCGGACAAGACAGAAAATAGACATTGCACCAAATAAACAAATATCAAATCAAGTGAATGGATCCGGGGGCCAGCCGTAAGACACACGACCTTATTCCTTGTCACATACTAAACTAAACTATCCAGGGATAGTTATAACACGTTAATCTGCGTTTTACTACTGTTATTATATAGAAGGGTTTAGCCTCTCCAAATCCTAAAATAACTTATTTTGTATTTTTATAACAGTAGTAAAATGCACATTAGCGTGATATAAATATCAATGGACAATCCCAATTCTTCCTTACTGCATATTTGCTCAAATCACCAAGTCCTAAATATATAATATTCTGCTTTTTTGCTAAAACAACAAATTTTGTGTTTCAGTCTTCAGATCCAATAATTTATAAACTAGTGTT